ACTAATTGTATAAAGAAATATAATGCTTTTGTTGTGTGCTGGCTGTTCCTTTCTTAACTATTTTTTTTCAATCAATTATCATTTGAGTTCAACTGGAAGAATCTAGAATAACTCTCTAGGTAAAACAATTTCAAGCTGAGGGAATAAGTTGGATTCCTGAAAGTAGAAACAGGAAGCAGAATTAGGGAAGGATATTTTGGCTTAAAGAAAGGTATGAGTGATTCTCACCCAGTGTGAAATAAAGTTGTATCGTGATATCCCATTAGCATCTACAATGAACTCGAAATTTCAAAAAGAAACATCATTTAACTAAAAAAAAGAATAGGGACTAAATGGTATGGAAAATGAAATGACTAACATTAAGATAATAAAGCTTGGATTGGAGGAGTCTGAGTCTATATCACCTAGACCCTTTATCTGGAACTTAGATTCAGTCAGTTTCACATGATTTGAAGTTAATATTTATTATTTTCCAGGATATTTCAAGTTCATAATATTTTACAAGCTCTAATGAAAACATTCCCATTTTCCCTTTTGTATTTATTCCTGAGTTATAAATAAGCCATCCAGTTTACTACACTTAGTTCTCTGGTCGGCTTCTCTTTAATATCGCAACAATACAGTATAAACAGACCAATTATTTTCAGTCAAATGATTTGTGCAGGCCCTCCATATAGCACAGATATTTTCCCCCACATTTGAAACTACTCTAATGACTAGAAAGGTAATGCAATTAGGATAGTCAGGGGTTATAACTCAAGCCTTAAATTCCAACTTATAGGTTAAAATGCTAGTTCTACCATTTACTGCTTGTACTGGGAAACTTAACTTATCTGTGCCTTTGTACTCACTGGAAAAAGGGGAATTAAAAACTGTACTTATACCATTGAGTTATTTGAGTTTGAAATGATAATGATAAGATATGTACGAAGTGTCTTGTAAATAATAAGCATTGAATTAATATGAGTGATTTTATGGCTCTTGGCACAGTACTGCATGGGCAAGATGTTCTTGATAGTCATTATGCTTGACTTCTAGGAGAAAAAGGATATGGTTAAAGCTATCTGAGTTTTGAAGAGTTTAGGGGACCAAGGCAGAAATTCTACCAGAGTCTTTCTGCTCTGTCAGGAAGCAGTCCTTGATCTATGAAGAATGCTCTGTAGCATGTACTCACTGGGTTATTTCTATATTGTTTGAAAGTGACTACTGCATAGAATCTCCAGGTTTTATCATGTACTGTTTACATGCTTTTTACATGAAATAGAGTGATTTTCTTGGTCTCTGCTCTGGAGTTAAAATGCATTATAGACAATCATAAAAATAAGCTGAAGTTGGGGTCAAAGAGAAAAATATCAGATGCAGTACAAAATGACACTTACCATATATTGCATTCTTATTATGTGGCAAACACTCCAGTAAGCATTTAATTGGAATGATGTCATTTAGTTGTCACAATCACCCAATGAATTAGGTATTATTATCTCCATTCATTATCTACAATGAAGGGAATGAGTCTCACAAATGTTAATTTGTCTCAAGGCACACAATTATTAATTGAGAGAATTTGAAATTGAGCAAGGTCTCATCATAATCTAAGTCTCATGCTCTTCCCCTGACACTGAATTTCCTACCAAGGTCTTTTTACATAATCATACCATTTCCTGTTTCAATATCAAAACTCTTTTGTACTCAAGTCTACACAATTTTTCCCTTTAAATAGTTCGTGTGTTCTATGTTGGGTTACATTAAATACTGGCCCCTTCTTCAGCTAACTTCTCCTTAAAGGAGTGGCCAAGCTCCACCTGGAAAGAATGATTTAAGGTCTAGAAAGTAAAACTTGTTTAACACTGTTGTCCCTCTCTCCTGGCACTCTCCTGCCCTCCAAAACATACTTTCACCAAAATCCTGTTTTCCCAATAAGCTACACGTAGTACGGGAATATACACTTGAAAGGCACATGAAATGTCTGTGTTTTATTGTCTTCAGAAACAGCAGCCGAGATGAACTGAGCTCTTTCCAAATAATTCAATTTAGTAATAATTCTCATTCATTATGAATGAATTTCATCCATGTTCACATGATTTGCTGTAACTGGAATCCTGTGAAGCTGCCACGAGATGAAGTCTCTCTTTATTACTATCAATGCTGTCTTTCTGCCATCAGTGCTATGGCCAGAAGATTGATGTCAATGTCTCTTGTTGCCGGGATGCTCTGCTGTTGTGGCTGCCTCATGCTCTGCTACCATTGATGGGATCCTTCCATTCCAGCCCTCTGCAGAGCACTCAGATTGGTGGTGGTTTATAGATTTTAGGTTTAAACCTTCCTCTTTGGGTTGACCTGTGTCTAGCCCACTGAATTAGTCATGGTTAAGGAACAGAACCAATAAGGGGTGTGTGTGTTTGTGTGTGTGTGTGTGTGTGTGTCTGAGTGTGTGTGTGTGTCTATGAATGAATGAAGAGGTTTATTATGAGGAATTGGCTCACACAATCATGGAGGCTAAGAAGTCCCATGGGCTGCCTCTGCGGTCTTCAACCTGGAGACCCAAGAAAGGTGGTGATATGATTTCAGTCCAATTGTGAAGACTTGAGAACCAGCGGAGCTGATGATATAAATCCCTGCCCAAAGGCAGGGGAAGATGGGTGTCCCAGCTCAAGCAGGCAGGCAGGAAGCCAAAAGGGGCAGATTTCTCCTTCCTCTGCCTTTTGTTTTATTCAGGCCCTTAATGGATTGAATGATTCCCACTTACATAGGGGAGGGCAATCCACTGAGCTCACTGATATGAATCCTAATTTCATCCAGAAAACTATCACAGACCTGCCCAGAAATAATGTTTAGTCTGGGCAGCCCATGGCTCAGTCCAGTTGACACACAGAATTACCACCACACCCATTCACAGAACGG